TGGGAAGAAGGGCAGACGAACAGAAATGCCGACTTCGGGGGGGGGGGCCTCAGACGCATGCGCAGGGGCCCCGCGGAGCCCCAATATCTCGCGGGCCTCACTCTGCAGGAGGGACGCGTCGGGGTCGTAGATCACCAGGGGGGTGGCGGACAAGCGGTTGAAATTATCGGTGATGGCGTAGCATGCGCTGGCGCGGTGCCGCGCGCAATGTCGCAGCACTGCGAGACGATCAACTTCAACGTCCCCGAGGTGGGCAAACCTTGTTCGGATTGCCTCAAATGCCTGGGGGCCTTAAGGCAACGCGATACACACTAGCTTCGCACTCGCGCTCGGGGTCTCTGGGGTCCGAGGGGGGATGGAGATTCGACGGCTGCCTCGAGGTGCCAGCGGGAATGGCGCGCCTCGGGGCCGAGGCAAGCACTTGGTGGGCCTCCTTCTGCTTCTTAACGATCAAAGGTGTTGGTAAAAAACAGCTGGTCAACGAAGCTCCGGACAGAGAAGGCGAGCGAGTTGTGCGCAATGATTTTCTGGCAGAGACCTAAGCGCAAGCCCTTGATGAGCCATGCCCGCCCAGTGAATGTTATGCCAGGAGCGACCCAGGAACGCCCGTGCCCACATGGGCCATGGTAAACCCCAAGATATCTGCCACACGTACGAACCGAAAACTTACTGGCCCGAATCCCAGCACCGCGGAACATGACCCTGATCTGGCGCGGGGTGCACGGCACAGCAAATGCCAGATAGCATTTTTTGGCATTCAGCAGGGGCCCCGTCAAGAGCGCCGCCTGCGAGATGACTCTCAGTATAGTTGGCAACGATCGGGCCAGATCCTTCGATGCAATGCTGATGCCATCTGCAAATGCAAATGGCCGGGCCGAAGGCGAAAGAGCGTAGTACAGGCTGCGAAAAACAGGGTCAGCAGCAATCGCGAACAATGCACCAGACAGTGGGCATCACTGTTTAATGCCTCTGGATAGAAAACAGCCCCGAAATATACCACCAGCAAGCCTGATGCCCGCGTGTATGTCATTGTGCAGTTGTTTGGCAGCATGTATAACAGATTCGGGGATCCTCATGTGCGCGAGAGCAGTAATAATCCATGAATGAGCTACGCTTGGGAACGCAGCCGCAAAATCTAAACGAAACAAACCAGCCCGATTCGTGTCCTGGAAAATAGAGTGCTCCAAAAAATGAGCCTCGATCTTCATGATATTGTCGAGCATGCTCCTGCCTTGAAGAAATCCCGCCTGGTTCTCACGGGCGGGGCGTCTACGCTGCTGGCCGAGAAGAATGCATGAAAGAAAGGGGCATAGTTTGTCGCCGGTGTTGCCGAGAAAAAGAGGTCTCGTCTCTGCTGGTTTCTACTGCGCGGTGAGTATGGCACACTCCTCCACGTTCTCGGGGTGGAAGACGGCGGTGCCGCGATTGAAACCTGCGGGAAACGCCTTGAACTACATCAAGACAAGGTACGCATCATATAAAATCCCCTTACATCTCAAACTGCGTTTGGCCCAGCCAGAGCATGGAACTCCATCAGGCCCCGCCGCGGAGTCTTTCTTGTACTTCGCACATCCCACAAGATCAGAAAACGGCACCCCCCACTCAATCCCAGTGGCGACATTCATATACTGGGCAAGAAGCATGTCTGAGATGTGGCGTGGAACATTCGGCGCATCAGCAGCCGCGCGCACTCGCCCCCATTGCGCGGCAAGGCGAGCGGCGCCGTCATCCAGAGAGGTGGGCCCGTGCCCGTCGTCGCCCAACATGCCCGCGGGAGAAGGTCGCCTGTGCTCTGGAGACCAAGTTTTCAGAAGCTCGTGCAGCTTTACAGTTCGCCCGTCATCAAAATCGATATTCAGGAGACTGCTCGTGCTCGCGAACCTCTACAACAAGTGTGCGCTCTTGTACTACACGAATATGGTCATGAAAACGCGCGGTGTCGATAATGCGTGTATGTTCTTCGTTCGTATATTCGCGCAGCTCAGGGTAGGCGCGCGCATTTACGAATGCCATGGAAATTGCCCGTGATGTTCGCACGCCTGCGCTTCAGACAAACAGTGAGACGGTGGGTGTCCGTCTGCGCGCCATATCTATAAATCCGAGATTTCAGCTCGTCGCACGCGCGCATCATGACTTCTTTAATCTCGGCGAGGGCGGAGAGCGGATCCGGGGAGAGGTCTATCTGGCCAATGGCCTCGTCGATCAGAATGGGGAACTCGGGATGAGAGGTTACCCAGGAAGGCATGGTAGCATGCGCTCGTGCACCAGGACTAAATCGGACAAGCGCCGGAACATGGTCGCTCGGCTCGTTGGCTTTCAGGACGTGCCCAATAATCCCAGCAGAAGGCTTTGCTTCTAGCATCAGCGCCGTTGGCGCAAACACACACATGCGATCCAATCGCCCCAGGGGCCTCGCGCCCCCCGAAAAAATCGCCAGTCCCATGGGCGGGCTCGTCCTGAGCAAGGTCGATCGCAGCAGGGGGCACTCGCCGAAAGTGTCGGAGAAGAGCAGGGCGCTCAGGCCGTTGAGAGGCCCCGTCTATCCTGACGCGGGCCTCGCCTGCCTCTAGGAAGTTAAAATCACCAGCCATAAATGTTAAACACGAGTCGCTGTCGGGCAGCGCAGGAGCAACACTGTTCATGATGTTATATTATTGGGCGTCGTTGAGGGCGGGGTCGAGATGGATTCTGAAGGGATCGAGGTTGCCTTGGCGTCCTCGCAACAAAAATATCGAAAGAGAACGGCCGCCGTCAAGCTCCTCAGGCTCGACTGCTTCGAAGTTGGAGAGGAAGGAGTTGGCGATGCTGATGGTCGCGCCGCCCGCGTGTGTGTTCTCGCAAAATGAGCCGAAGTGAGCGTGTGATAAAACATCCCGTCGAGGGGTCCCTAGATCTGCGTCTGTTACATGTGCCTCTTGTATGTAAACTATAGCGCGTGATTTAATAAGTAGACGCAATTTGCGTAATCTGTTCTTCTGTCTCAGAGGGTCATCACGCACGCTGCCAAAGAATGCTCTTGAACCCCAAACGCACACCGAGAATCTCTGCTTGAACTGGACGGACATTCCGCAAGAATGTCGCCGCAACCGGGAACAGGAACAGAGGACAGAGGGACATTGCCCTCAACACGCTTCCCAGACAAGCGATCGAAAGAGACAGACCCAATATTGTCGGAGACAGAGGAGGTGCAAACAGACAAAAAAAGCAGCAGCGGCGGCAGAGCTCAGTTCAGTACTTTCCTATTCCTGGCAGTAAGAGTTGCACGCGATGGCGGGCATGTTCTGGATCTGCTTGTCAATCAATCCGAAGTCCTTCAAGGCTGCAGCGTCCGCGTTGAGGAAGAGTTCCGCTTCAAACCAGGAAGAAAGCCCAACCGAATCCACAGGCTCGTCATTGACGGTTGTGTAGCACAAGCCTTGGTACTTACTGCAGGCAAGCATGGTGGTAGAAGCCCATGTTCCATTCGTACGCATATCAGCGCTGACCTGCTTCCAAACTAAAGTGAGAATGAAGCCCCTCTTTTTGATGTCGTATGGCTCATCATATCCGACTCGAAGATCGTGGCGCTCGCCCGTGGAAACATGAACGAAACGAATCGTGATGTCGCGGGCGAACTCGTAGAAGGCCTTGGCGTGGGCTGGTTCGTCGGACTTTATGGCGTAGGCGAAGTGGAGACTCTGGCACTGCACCTGGCACTTGTGGCGGTATCCGTCTGGCATCGAGCTCTCTGCGATGCTGAAGCGGCGCTCGAAAACTATCTTCAACTGCTTCTTGGGAAATCCTCTGATCCACAGTTTTGCTTTGTCTGCGGGCACAGAAGGCCTGAGTGAACCGCGGTTGGACCGGGTACCAGTAGATGAAACACCTGACCGATTGGTTTCTTTCATCTGCGCGTCGAGAGGCGCAACTTGTTCTTCCATCATTCGTAGACGTATAACAGCTGAGCATGTAGCTGCAACTCCAGTGGCTTCTTCCATGCTGGCATCTCCGTATCTCTGCAAGCCTTTTAAACTTTCGTTCACATTCGTCCATCCTATCAGAGTGAGCAGTCATAGAATCCTGCATATTATTTATGATGCCCGTGTTTTTCGCAATCCCTTCCGAAAGCTTCTTGTCTATGGTCGTCCGATTGCCGCGCATGACCTGGATGCTTCAATCGCATCTGAGCAGCATCCATGGCTTCTCTCAAGAAAGAGTAAAGAAAAGAGGGGAATGATGGCAAGGTCGTGAGGGATGCAGCCTCAGTACCTCCCGCAGGAGATGTATGGGATGCGTGACCAAAAAAGGGATCCTTCGCACGTGGTCGTCGCACTATGTTGAGGGTTGCGTCTCCCCGTGCTTGGCCTGAGCACCCGACTTGCTCTTGAGCCAAAATGGCCACGGAAATGATGCTGATGATGCTGATGATGATGCTGCTGCTGAAGAGAAGGAGGAGGAGGAGGAGGGGGAGGAGGAGGAGGGGGAGTGTGTGTGTGTGTTCTGGTTTCTGCGCCGGGGGTCCAAAGCCGCAAGCCCCGCTTTGGATGTGGGAAGCAACATAACAACTCAAACCTCGGCCCTCGGGCAGGAAGCCCATAATCGAATCGACAAATCGGATCGGCGATCGAAAGACATCGGATCGGCAGAAATCGGCAGGCTAGCAGGCCTCCACTGAGAACTCGGAATCCAAATCGGACCCCGAGGTCGAGTCGTTTCGGAATCGGCAGCCAATGACATCCAATCGAATCGAATCGAATCGGAAGAACCGAGACGAGCCCTGCCGTTGGGTCGCTGGACCTCTGCGCCGCGGCCGCCGCGCCCCCAGGCACTCCCAGGCGTTCCCACGCGCTCTCATGCGCTTCCCAAGCGCTACCCGGCGCTCCGGAGGGTCCTAGTGCTCCCAGACAGTCCGAAGCGCTCCAGGCGCTCCCAGGTGCTCCCAGGCGCTCCCGAGCGCTCCCAGGCGCTCCCAAGCGCTCCCAGGTGCTACCAGGCGCGCCCGGGAGGCCCCCCCGTGGCGCCTCACGCCGGCGCAGGGCCGCCAGCCTGGCCGCCAGGCCCGAGCACCGCAGCCGGCGCTGCTGCAGCACGCTGGCCCTGGCGGGCAGCTCCTCCTCGAGCCGCGCCAGCCTCGGGGGGCAGGGAGGATTTGTTTGTGGTCGATTTTTTCCTCCTCCTCCTCCTCCTCCTCCTCCTCCTCCTCCTGCTCCTGCTCCTGCTCCTGCTCCTGCTCCTGCTCCTGCTCCTGCTCCTCCTCTTCCGCCTATTTTTCCTCTTCCTCCTCCTTTCCCTCCTCCTCCTCCTGCTCCTCCTCCTCCTCCTCCTGTTTCTGCTCCTGTTCCTGCTCCTCTTCCTCCTCTTCCTCCTCTTCTTCCTCCTCCTCCTCCGCCTCCTGCTCCTCCTGCTGCTCCTGCTGCTCCTGCTGCTCCTGCTGCTCCTACTTCTGCTCCTGCTCCTGCTCCTGCTCCTCCTCCTCCTCCTCCTCCTCCTCCTGTTCCTGCCCCTGCTGCTGCTGCTCCTCCTCCTCCTCCTCCTCATCCTGTTCCTGCCCCTCCTCCTCCTCCTCCTCCTCCTCCTCCTCCTCCTCCTCCTCCTCCTCCTCCTCCTCGGGTCCCATGGAGGCGAGCGAGGGGGGGAAGTGAGAAGGAGAAGGCCTTTTCAGTGGGCTCTGGAGTCCCCTGGCCTTCTGACAGGCTTGCTGAGCGCAGAAAACTTCTCAGAAGGCGCGGAGGGACTCTGAGCAGTCCCGCCGCCTTCCCAAAATGCCTTCTCCTTCTCACTTCCCCCCCCCTCGCTCGCCGCCGAGTTTCGGTCGACCGAGATCTGGTCCCGAGCGGGGAGCAGGTCCGTGTCTGCCCCCCTGCAGCCCGGACAGCACGGCGCGATCCCGTGGATGCGCGGTTGCACGGGCACGGTCCGCGCGGGGGCATAGATCGGGCCTTCGGAGGTTATCGTCGTTGCCGTCTGCTTTCGGGGTCGGCGGCGCTGGCCGTCAGGCCTTACGCACATACATACATACATACATACATACATACATACATACATACATACATACATGCATACATACATACATGCATACATACAGACAGACAGCCAGCCAGCCAGCCAGACAGACAGACATACATACATGCATGCATGCATGCATGCATACATACATACATGAATACATACACACGTACATACATACATACATACATACATACATACATACATACATACATACATACATACATACATGCATACATACATACATACATGCATGCATGCATGCATGCATGCATGCATACTTATATAAATGCATGCATGCATACATGCATGCATACATACATACATATACACCACATACATACATACATGCATGCATACATACATACATGCATGCATGCATGCATACACACATACACGCATACAGACATACACACATACATACATGTATACATGCATGCATACACACATACACACATGCATACATTCATACATACATACACACATACCTGCATACATACATACAGACAGGTATACCTACATGCATGCATGCATGCATACACACATACATACAGGTGTACAGCTATACAGCTATACAGACATGCAACCATGCATACATACATACATGCATGCATGCATGCATGTACCCATACATACATACATACATACATACATACATACATACATACATGTATACACAAATACACACATACACATACATACATACATACATACATGCATGCATACACACATACATACAAACATACATACACTCATACATACATACATGTGTACATACATACATACCTACAGACAGACAGACAGACATACATACACACATGCAAACATACATACATACACATGTGCATACATACGTGCATACACACATACATCCATACATGCATACATACATACATATATACATACATGTGCATTGCTGTGTTTAGACAGTTATGCAAACATACACACATGTCATCTAGTCGTTTGGAAAAGGTTGGCCGCCTGAACCTTGGGGTCTGGGGGGAAAGGCATCTTAGAAGGAGCTGCTTCTTAGAAGGCGCGGGCCTCACATCTACAGACAAGGCCCGCGCCTTATGAGAAGCAGGGGTGCTTCTAAGAAACTTTCTCCCCTCCCCCATACCCCCCTCTGCGCGTGGCTGAGCATTGTCGCACGTCGTCCCAGAGGGCGTCGAGCTTCTTATCGTACTACTCGGAGTGGCGGACCACGACGGAGGCCAACTCCTTTCGGGTGGCCGTGGTGATGCCCTGGCAGGCGGCTTCGAACTTGCTGGTGGCGTGGTGGAGAGGGTGTCGGAGAAATCTCTACGGACTCCTTCGGGGCAGGCGAGGGCGAGGGCGAGCGCGCTGGCTCCGCCAGCGGGTGGGGCCTGTAAAGCCAGCGCGGGTGTGCCGGAGCCCTCAGAAGTCCTTGTCGGAGGCAGAATCGAAACCGGCGTTGCTGACATCGGAGCCGGCTGTGCTGGAGGCCTCGAACGAGCTCGAGGCCTCCATGGTGGCCTCGAGCTCGTCGGGGGCGCCCGCGGAGGTGTGGCCCGGTGATGGTTGCGAAGGCGCGTGGGCCAGCGGCGCTGCCGGCGGCAGTGCCCTTCCAGGGATCGGCGGCCAGGAAAGGGATCAGCTGCACCGACGAGGAGGAAGAGGAGGAGGAGGAGTGTAGACTCAAGACGCATCAACACTATTGCAATACACGATTCCTCCGAACTCCCGCTTCATTAATCCCTGTTGTCACTTGCGGGACTTGCCCCATTGAGAAACAAACGTGAGAGAATCCTGAACCGGGCCACAACATCCTTCCTGGGACATCAACGCCGTGAATGAAGGTGACTGTTTCGTCCTGACAATCCCAAATCGTACCAGAACGCGATTCATAGGACGCCAGCACCGCAAATCAACGTGACTATTGCGTCATGGCAATCCGGAGTACGTAGGAGGAGGAGGAGGAGGAGGAGGAGGAGGAGGAGGAGGAGGAGGAGGCGGAGGAGGAGGAGGAGGAGGAGGGGCAGCAGGAGGAGGAGGAGGAGGAGGAGGCGGAGGAGGAGGGGGGAAGACGAGTCTGTTCTTTCTCCTCCTCCTTGTCCTCCTCCTCCTCGTCCTTGTCATCATCGTCCTCCTCCTCTTCTTCCTCCTCCTCTTCCTCCGCGTTTTTTCGCATTGCTCCTCCTCCTCCTCCTGCTCCTCCTCCTCCTCCTCCTCCTGCTCCTCCTCCTGCTTCTCCTACTGCTTCTCCTCCTCTTTCTCCTCCTGCGCGCCGCTCGAAGTTCGTTCGTCGACCACCACGTGGCATAGCTCGCAACTCGCGCACCCCGCCTCCCGCTGCTCCCCCCCCTGCTGGTGTCGCTGTCCTCCGTGTGGCGCCCTGGGGTCACCGCGCCTGCGAGGCACATATCTTAGCGGGCGAAGAACGGTATTACGTACTCGTTTCCGCCGTCGGGGACGCCTGCTCCCTGGGCGGCTGCATAGCTTCTGCCCCATTCGGTGCCACGTTGGAGCAGAAACTCTCCAGCCGCCCGGGACCGTCTGCCGTTCTCCGCTCCCGAATTCGGGGGTTGCTAAAAAAGGTGCCCCTGGCAGAAGGTGCCTCCAGCTTTTCGCTCGAATTTGGAGTCCGTGGGCCTGCTGGGCCTCGTGAGGGGTGCTCTGGAGGCGGGGACGGCCTCCTTGGAAGCCTGGGGGCACCTTGGGCCATGGGGCACTTCTAGCAACACCCGACAAATATCGCAGGGAAGGGCCGCGCGACGCGGCGCGCACGCGCACTCAGCGCAGGGCGCCTGCCGAGCAGCTGCTGCCGCCCGTCAACGGCGGCCGCGGCGGGCGGTGCCCCCGCGTCGGGCGCCTGCCGCGGCTGCCGGCCGGCGTCGGCGGACGCGGCCGCGGCGGCGCGCGCCTGCCGCAGCTGCAGCTCGAGCGCGCCGCGCTCCCGCTGCAGCGCAGCGAGGGCGGACGCCGCCTGGCGCAGGCGCCCGTGGGGCCGAGGGCCAGGAGGTTGAGCAGGGAGGGACTGGCCGCGCCCGCATTCCTAATTAGTAGGCCAGCCACGAGGTGTTCTTGGAACAAGAAGGAACTTAGAGCATCGAGCCGACGGTGGGCCTACTAAAGGCAAGCCAGGACGCGTCGCCACTGCTTGACAGAGGTATCCAAAATGGGGCCCGCGCGTGGGGTGTTGCCAGACGTGTCCCTGGCCCAAGGCCCCAGGATGTCGAAGGATGCCCCCATGGCCTCCAGAGCACCCCTCACAGGGCCCAGAGGGTCCTCGGCTATTCCAAAGTGGAGCGACAAGCTGGGGACACGTTGGACCAGGGACGCCTTTAGCAACCCCTAGTAGTGGATGTGAGGATCGCGATGCATCGCCGATGCATCACCAATGCATCGCCGATGCACGGGCGCTTTCAGCCTGGAGAACATCGGGTTGAACATCGGGATCCACATCGAGCCGAACCGCCCTCCTAGAACCCTGATCCTCCTCTCGAACTTGGAGTGTCATGTGGGACCTGCTTTAGAACAGGAACATACCGTAGAAGGATCTACCCTTTCTCCGAACGCAACGGCCGCGTTGACTACAGACGCATCCTCCCCGAATGCGTTTACGTACGTGACGACACCCAGAGTGTCGATAGACGCTTGAGGCCAGACAGTGAGAGAGCGGCACGTGGCCCATGCCCAAGCAATTGGCCTTCTAGAAGCAGGTCGACGTTGCCCTCCAACCTCGAACCTCCAACCTCCACTCTCGAACATCGGACCTCCAACCTCAAACGTCCAATCAATATCCTCCAACCTCGAACATCGAACCTCGCACGTTGAACCTCGAACCTCGGACCTCGAACCCTCGATCCTCCAACCTCGAGCCTCGAGCCTCGAGCCTCCAAGCTCGAAGCTCGAAGCTCGAAGCTCGAGCCTCGATCCTCTGCTGAGCCCTGTGCCGCGGCCTCGCCCTGGCGGCCGCGGGCCGCCGCGAGCCGGGACCGCAGCCCCGCGGCGCCAGCCGCCGCGGCCTCCTTCCGCGGGAGCGCGCCAGGCGCGCGCCCGCGCGCGCGCTGGGGCCGCGCGCGGGCGACGCCATCGCGGTGAAGGCCTGCGGAGGTCACTCGGAGGCTCGCGGAAGGCTCTGGAGCCCTCGGGAGGCTCTTGC